CTACAAAGGACACAAACTCATTGTTTTTGATGGCTGCATAATATTCCATGGTGTATATGTGCCACATTTTCCCTGTCCAGTCTATCATCGATGGGCATTTGGGTTGGTTTCAGGTCTTTGCTATTGTAAACAGTGCTGCAATGAACATTCGTGTGCACGTGTCCTTATAGAAGAACGATTTATAATCCTTTGGATATATACCCAGTAATGGGATTGCTGGGTCAAATGAAATTTCTATTTCTAGGTCCTTGAGGAATCGCCATCCTGTCTTCCACAATGGTTGAACTAATTTACACTCCCACCAACAGTGTAAAAGTGTTCCTATTTCTCCACATTCTCTCCAGCATCTGTTGTCTCCAGATTTTTTAATGATCGCCATTCTAACTGGCGTGAGATGGTATCTCAATGTTGTTTTGATTTGCATTTCTCTGATGAAGTGTGGTGTTTAGAGCATGGTTTTGAAATAGGAGGCACAGTGTTTCAATCCAAGGAATGTTGTGTAATGTGGCATAGTGACTTCCTTCACTCAAGTTTCCTTACCTATGAAATGGCGATAACAACTGAATCTCTGCCACAGGGCTGTTGTGAGTATTGAATGAGGAAAGACTTATGGTACCTGACTCATAATAAGTGCTCGTGAAACACTATAATTATTATCATCATGTTATTCTACAGCCAATTTAGATTGGCTCTTTTAAAAATCCATTAGATCAAAAGCAACTGGGTCAAAATTTATAAATTGGTTTGCTCTTTTATTTTTTGAGCAATAGGTGTTAGGGCTTTGACAAGCTTTAGTCTTTCATTTTACACTTTCAAGAATCATGTTTAAATCTGTGAGACGTACCTTCAGAAGTGGTTTCTGTAAGGGATATTTTAAGTTGGAAAGTGTATGGAAAAATATGTTTTCTGGATACATTGACATAACTCCTCGATTAAGCTTGCTTCCTCTGCACTCTTCCCATTGCAGTTCTTCTAACTCAGATCTGGGATTATTGCTTCTATCCGCTGGATGGCCTGGATGGCAGAATACTAGCCTGCCTTTTAAAGCTGCTTCCACCCTAGCCTGCTTTTCTCACACCCTTACCTCCTGATAACACTCCTGTGGATCTGTCACTCCAAACTCATTTCGCTTTTCTAATGCCCGAGAAGACCTTGAGCTCTACTCTAGCCTTCCTTCCGTATGTCCAGTGGTCTCAGTCAAGGGATGGCTTTTCCAAGGTGAATTCTTCCCTCAGGATGCAGCCAGCTGTAATGGGCACAGCCAGCAGGGCGTCAAGAGCGACCAGTGTCAGACTGTCTTGTGTCATGGGGCACTGGCATGCCTTACTTACCTTGTCTACTGGATATTTTATATAGTTCTCTTACAAGCCAGCGCAGCACTCTCTCATTAAGTCCTTCTCACCTATTTATCTTTAATTGGGAAAAGCAACACAGGGACTACAAATTTCAAAAGGAAAAATCACACCCCAAATCTCATCATCATAAACATTTTCACTCTTACCCGTTATTTCAAAGGCCTTATTCATATGCATATATATTAATATATCTCACAGTTGCAATTATAGAAGAGATCATACTTCTGCAAAATTGCCACAATTATTTTGATATATCAACTTACATAAAAATTTAGAGTAATTTTTTAATAATGTAAGATTGATTGAGAATCATACTTGTTAGTTTCATGACAACCTAAATTTTATTATAGTAGTTTCCTGGGTATAACAAATAAGATATTTTCAACTCTTTTCAGAGTTGTTCAATAGGTTATATGCTCATCTGACTTGGAAGAGTGTAACATTTTATTCAGAATTCATTTTTTAAAATGTGGTTGCTTTTCATTTGTGCTCCCCTTAAATCAATCAATCTGGCTTTTTGAAAAAGTAATCTGCTAGAAAAGATGCTTATTTTTCTGTTTTGACGAAGATGCAGAGACTTGCATGTCTAACAAGGTATTAAAATGGGACTCTTTCTTTGTCTCAGTTTCTGCCAAAATCTTAAGTCTGGGAAGAAAAAAAAAGGATAATAATTTTTCACACATATTTAAAGAGAAATTTCAGACTGTGTGTGGGATGTGCAGGGTGATGGTGTGATGCTAATTCCTTCACTCTCCCAGTATGCTCGAGAGGAGAGGCTTAAAGCCTGTGGAGAGATTTCAGAGACAGAATTTCTTCAGGAGAGATGAGAGTCCCAGGGCATTCATTCCCCTACAGTGCCCCAACTCAAGACACGTGAAGGGATGGTTAGAGGTCTCAGAGAGCTTGCTGTGGGCTTGGGGAGCATGACCACTAACATTTTAGCCTTAAAATACTGATAGGCAAAAGACTGGCTGGAATGACATTTAGTGACAGGACTGACCAAGAGCATGGCCAAGAGTGGCCTGATTTTCATGACAGGGTGGGGGTGGAGGGACGGTCAGGTATGTGGTTCCTCTTAGAGCCAGATTTGGACCTCATGGGAGGCAACCAGATGTGGATCATCTTGAAAAGATGCCAAGGAGGATGCCCTGCAGGGGTAACATGGTTTCAGTAAAGTGGTAGAAGATGGGAAAGCAGTGGGTGGCCAGTTGGAGGAGGAATTGCTCACATTGAGGAACCTGAAGGGGGCAGAGGTCTCCTAATGCCTACGGAGCTTCTCTTAATAGAAGAGGTCAGTCAGCATGTGGACACTGGCTATATACAGGACACCATTGCTAGATGATACCATTGCTAGACCCAACTGAATAAGATATTTTCTGCCCCTAACTGCCTTCCCTGTTCTAGCCCTGGAAGAGCCAGAGGCATCACTGTGAGTAGCAGAGGAGAAGAGCAGCCAGAGAGAAATACTACAGGAGCTGACTGCATCCACCTCCCCACCTACAGTTTCTCTTCCAAGTCTAGACTTGGAAGGTCCTCCCAATACTAATTGATGCAGACGTTTCTTAGGGAGTAAGTGGGCAGGAGAGAGGACTGAGTCAGTTATACACCTCAGTTCATGGCACACTAGTATCACGAATTTGTGAAAAAGCTTTTTTTATTATATATATTTATGCATTTTTGTTTCCACTCCCTACTCCCATTCTTCCCCATGGAAAACCATTTTAATGGGTTCCATATGTATTTCTTGTTCTTGTGTGTTCTGGAAAACGTTGTATTATTGTTTCAGTGTGTGCACATTTTCCATGAATGTAAATAGCTCTGCATTAGCTTGTTTTATTTATTGTTTTTCATGGAGCATTGCTGTTAAGATTCGCCCATGTTGCTGTGTGGTCTGTGGTGCCTAGCTGCTGCACTTGGAAGTAATGTGTCCAGACTTTTTACACCTAAAAATGGAGACCATTTATTAGTACCTGAGAGTGGAAACTCTGTTCTGCCCCATATTTCATCCAAGGCAGAGAAGAATGATTCCACCTTGGAATCATTTTGGAGGTAGTTGTCTGGGGAAAAAAAAAAAAAAGCTCTTTTATAATTGTATTCCATTAAGTCCAGTTATTTTAATTAACCAGCTACGATAGTGTTTACTGATACATCAACATATAAGAACTGAGCACCTGTGATGTACAAGATTTTGACCTTTGAAGGATTTGGTGATAAATAATAAAAGGCAATATAAAATGAAGCCATTCTGGTAGGTACAGAAAGTAAGGGCATGAGGGTTCAGGGAAAGGAGAGAGAAGTTTAGCCAGGGACACTAGGAGAATGAAGAGGGAGGATTTGAGTGGAGATGTGAATGCATAAACAGGATTTTGATAGAATGCAGAAGACATTCTAGTTGGGGAAGCTACATGAGCAAAGTAAAGCAAATTACAAAGTGCAAAATTACAACTGAGAGGTGACAAGTAGAAGGTTTTTTTTTT